GGACCTACCAGTGCATCCAAAGCGCGAAGTGTGCATTCAACCATGTTTCCCTCGCCCGCCATCTCTAATGCGGCCTTAACTTCATTCTGCCACTGTACACTGAACAGGTGCAGCGGGCTCAAACTCGCAAAAATGATTTTGATCGAATCCTCCTTCAGTACTTGTCGCCCTTTCGGTGGAGCAATAAGCGGGCGGACGTACACCTCCATTATAGATTGCAAGGTTTCCACATAACGCAGCTCGGTGCAATACATCTCATCCAACACAGAAAAGAATGCGGCTGCGCGGGACATTGGATGGAGAGACAAAGATTGACGCACGGCATAAGGTAGCATCTTCTTGAAGGTGTCAGAAAGATCTGACTCTCGCAAGTCGTAAAGGGATACAGCGCCGGGCACAAATGGGGATGGTGACACGGAAGAATGTGTAGTAAGGTCCGGCATGGTGTTGGAGCGATGGGATGTCACAGTAGGAGGGGGTAAGGAGGCGACCGACTCACGGCTTGGACTGAGTGTTTGCGTGGACGGGATCGCGGAATTCGCAGAATTGCCGCGTTCAAGTCGCGGAGGTGCAACAGATGGGCTTACTGGCGAATAAGGCTGTTGTTGTTGTTGCTGCTCCCACGGCTGATTCTGTTGCTGCGTGTATTGTGACGCGGTGGACGGAGACCGTCCGCGCGCCCCACTCTGTCCACCATCAGGACCCTGGCCTCGCATCGATGGCTGTGGTTGCATTCGCTGGTCTGGAGGGCTACTCACGCATGTTTCCGGAACGTAAGAAAGAGTTTGACTCTGATGAGCGGATATGCGTCGGTCTTGTGAGTCCTCTCGATATGTTGATGGTGGTTGTCCATAGGCCCTATTACCCTGGGCAGACAAAGGTCGCTGCACCAGAAGTGGAGGCTCAACCACCGCAATAAACCGTGATTGCTGCTGCTGTTGTTGTAGATTCGCAGCATCAGCAAAAGTATTACTTCCGGCCGATAAAGAGTGCTGGTGGTTCGGCCGAGGATGGGAGTAGTTGTAGTCTTGGGGTATCAATGCCGACGGAGACTGGTGCGCGTTTAGATTGGAAGGCGAGTCGGATCGCTCGCGATCTGTTTGTGATGGGCGGCCAGGTGGATTTTCGTGGCGATACTCATTACTATTGTAAGGCACGGGAACCGGCATGTCCAGCCGCGGAGGCTGCATAACAGCACCGGGTGCGCCATATGATTGACGATTTATTTTGGGCGGCTGTATTGGTTGAGGAGGATATGCAGCACCTGGAGACTGCGCATTATACTCCCTTGTTGTGCGCGGTGGACCCGGCTGTCCAATGATACTTGTTCGTTGACTTTGTGGTACTGATCCCCCTCCTCCATTGGAAAACTCAGGGCCTCGAGATAATCGCTGTGGAGAGGGCATTTCCATGGGTGCATACGAGCTCACAGGTCGAGACTTAAGTTCGTCTATTATCGAATCTGGTCCACGCATCCCGGCCCCCATAGTTCGTCCCATATATCCGGCCGCTGTTGCTTTGCCCATCATAGCTCCTTCAGGTGAGGGTCCCGCGCGCGAACGCGATCGTTTCCCATAAGTTGTTCGTGGATCAATGTTGGCAAGATCCGAACGAATGGAGGCACGTGCAGCTTGGGATGCTTGCAAACCAATGGTCGTGGATGCCGTGATACCGATTGGTACTTGAGGCGTCGCCTTTGTACTTTGTAACTGAAGGCATGGGTCTCAAGTTAGTACAGTAAAAGAAGGGTCACAAAACTATCTTCCCTACTCGATTGTAAGCTTGCCACCAATCGTCTCCTCGCCTGTTTGGGTTTTTTTTCAGCGTAAAGCAAAGTTTTCTAAGGCAGCAGCAGTCAGGAAACGTACACTATAGTCCGGCCTGCTCCCCCTGCACTCTCTTTTCGTTTTATCCAGTATTTCTCTAAATTGTCGCGCAGCACATTTTTGTCCCTCTCCTGGTTTATGAAGGGATGTCGCAGCAGGTCACTTGCCGTCGGACGCTAGCTCTTGCGTGAGCCCATCAATCGCAGAGGAGGGTGTTCACCCCAGCCATTCTTCTCACCTCGACCGGGTTTTTCGTCAGACATCGTGAAACAAAGTCCCGAAATTCAGGTGACCAATTTTCTTTGAGAGTTGGTGCGTCTGCGGTGATAGTAGCGTACAAAACCTATGTCAAGATTAATTTCCTGTCCCGGAATGAAAATGGCCAGGCGCTACTTACGTCCATAGGATGCAGATTCGATCGAGGCGGCGCTCCAGTAGCCAGCTCAATCGCCAAGATTCCGACACTCCACACATCAACCTTCCGATTTCATTTAGAGCTGCGCTCGCGCAAGTTCACGCCAAGTATACCTTTGGGCCATACTCTTCTCCACGGATAATTTCTGGAGCCATGTATAGCTAAACGTTGAATTTTTAATCAGCAGAAAGTTACATGGCTACAGCGGCCCAACCCGGCCGTACCGGTGTTCCAACAAAAGTTGACTTTGCGGTCTGATTTGGGCCGATCTGTCCCGCTACACCAAAATCCGCCAGCTTGAGTGCCCCATTGTTGTCGAAAAGGATATTTTCAGCTACATGACAGAAACGATTTAGATTGGCAAACATCGTTGAATACCGCTCCGTTCATTACCTTTGATGTCTCGATGAATTTTGTTTTCGTGATGCATATAATCTAGGCCCTTGAATATCTCCCGGAGTATATAAGCGCATTGATCTTCACTCAAACGTCCAAATTTGATCTTAGATCGATCGTGAGAAATATAATTAGGTGCACGTGTGAACCCGCACTCATACCAGCTCTGCTGCGGTGCCTCCACCCAAATATTCCTATAGAAAAAAACTATGAGGGATTTCCCAGCACACGAGGCCAAAGTGGCACAAACCATGGCGATGTAAAGCTTGCTGTGCCAGAGCCATGATCCAAAGTATCGAGCCAGATGTGGCGAGAAGCATTTCGCCTGAAAGTCAACTTCGTATCTAAACTCCTTCAAGTTGAGCTTTCTATTTCTCAAAAAAGACCACAATGGTACGTACAGCAAATCTTCGAGGTCGTCCCGTGTTTGTTCCAAATCGATTATTTTGAGAGCAACGAAACGAGACGGATCCTCTTTCGAGACGCTGGATGCCCCCAAAAATCAGCTTATGCCAGTGTGCTATTCAACAACTTTCGACACGTACGATTTGTAGATTTCGCCGAAGGACCCCTCACCCACTTTTTCCACGAGGGTGTAGCCCAATAGGGGATCCGAAACCTGTTCATCAGACGTTCCAGTTCTTCTTCTCAAGTCATCATGAGATTCTCGCAAACCTCGGGTTTAACAACAACGGGATAACGACGGGATCGGACCGTCATTCTCACAGTCGATAGATCGTCTTCACTCCGCGGTTTGCCAAAGTAGAAGTCTCGTTCATGTAGCAGATTGATGCCCCTGTAGGTTGCATTGCGCCGTAAGTATCCTGAAAAATAAAGCTACATATCCCATCACACGTACTTTTCGAACATATTTACGTCAATCTTTCCTAGTCTGGTAGTATCCAGGTACTGAAAGGACGAATGAAGCCGACTAGATCCGATATTCCCATGCCCCATGTCGTGCATGAACTAATTTTGCATAGATCGAATCGTCAATCTCCTGGTGCAGTCAATCAGTTTCCTTGCTACATTACTTGTCGGAAATCATCCTCGGTCCAGTACCCATCTCGGTCGCGGTCGTACTTGGCAAACACATTTCTTTATAAGGAACTTTAGCAGCTTCCCAGGTTACTGGTGCGGACGATCATCTACCTGGTTTTTTCCGATATAGGTGCCTGATGGGAGCCCCAAGAAACGGTTAGCCTCTACTATACTTCTCAAGGCCCACCTTTCCCACTCACCATGACACACTGATCAATTCCTGCAAGCGGAAATATCGAAACACTTCTTGGGTCTTGGTTTAATCCAACCTTCGGAGACGTGGCCACTCAACCTGACCCCAGCGAGTCGTGACACTTTTCTTGTATTTTTAATAACTTGCCAATCACCCAGTTCAGTACAATGATCACTCACAAAAAGTTAGCTATAGTTTCGCTCTTTTTGACAACTTTTTCGCTGGATTGCATGTATAACCGCCTAATTTTGCCTCATCCAAAAGGGCTTGGAACTGGTTGAGGGTCATATTATCCTTGTTTGTTTTTTGACCCAGTCCGGAATATTATGGCCCTGAACCCGAAAAAAAGTTTAATCTTGCTGGCGGCTGCCAATAACCTTTCCTCCGATCTGCCATAAAATGAATGTAGCTGGAGTTCTACATGAATTGCTGAGTCCTGATTTTTGCTGAGATCCATGGGTATTCTATTGAGCGTATGTTTTCAGTTGCTATTTGTGGTCCAACTCCAGTTTTGGAGTGGAGAAATATTGATCACAAACAATGATCGTGATGGAACTCTACATATACTAGTGCCCGTGCCCACCACGCGAAGGTATCTTCCGCTTCGTTGAGCATCAACCATTTTCAAGTTATTATTTTCCCGTCTTTTTACATTAGTTTTGAGTCTCATTGTCTTCCTCGCTTCCCATATTTTCACATGTTATCATATTCTTGAATGTCTTTCTTTCTGTATTGTAGGTACTGTAGTTTTGGCAACTCTACAAAAGCGGACATCCCGCCCAGCATCCCAGCATCCCGCCATCCCCTGCATCCCCCTGAATCCATTATTGCATACTCGTACATGCAACTTTGGTATCATACTTAGTAAAGCCCGTGTAGGAGGAAATTCGGTTGAAACTTCACATAGCTGTTTAACGAACTTTGTTGATCTTTTATCTCTCTTTCTCTGTTCTCAAACTCCATGAGAAATCGGTTAGCACAGTTAATAGAAGCTAGCAGCACATATAATTTTCTTTCGGTACATATGTATGGGTGATTTGGGGGAGTTTGCCAACACAGGAGGGCCTCCGTTGAAATATGTCCCTTTTCATTACGTAGTGAATACTGTATGCTGGCAGCGAATTTATCGGCGCTGGTGGTGAAATGGTATCATGCTTGCCTTCCAAGCAAGCGGCCTGGGTTCGATTCCCAGCTAGCGCATTATTTTTGGCTTTTTTTCTTGCTCACACGTAATTCTGTCCAGCATGCTGTCGGAGTTCGGCGTATGATCTTCAAATCATAGTATTTGACATAAAAATGCAACGAGCGCCTCCAACCCAGCAAGAAGCTCTACGGCTCGCCGCTTTTGTCGCTCAGAAGTATGCTTTTGTCGATCACTTCCCATAATCCTGTATTAACCGCGGAACGTCTCATACAGCTATGTCAATTTCCGGCAACGCCAGTCGGGACGACACTCAACCAGTCAACCAACCCGCACTATCTCCGATGAGGAACAGAGAGGCCGGGGATTGATCAACCAGTGCGTCTTCCTAATTATGAGCCTGATCTTGTATGCTCCAACTGGCCGTTCAGGATAACCAATAATTTGGCGCTAGTCAGATCATACCAAGATATGGATCTACAAGTACATTGGTGATGCCTTGATCCCGAGTTTTTTTTGTTAAGTCGGGGATTTGCCGTTTTGTCTTATAGGATGCTGCGCGAGCGGTTATTCCAGTTGATCGACTACATGAAGAAGCCCAGGCGTCTGTCGCTCGCAAAAACGGTAAAGCGGAGACCGAAAAGGACAAGTCGAAATCCAATACACCCACCACTTTCGACGAAGAGCTTGTACGAGCTCTCCTTCGATGGTTCAAGGGCGAGGTAACTATAGTTGATCATATTCATCAAATGTCGGCAAGTTGCTTATCCGACACCTTGAAACGTGGTAGTTCTTCAAATGGACGAATCAACCGCCATGTTCTCATTGCGCTCACCCTACAACTACCGGAATAGGCAGTGCCGCCCCGACGCCGACCGAGGCGCGCCACGGTGGGCATCGGGTGGAGACATACCATTGCGCACAGTGTCATGGAGTAACGCGATTTCCTCGTTACAAGTATGTATCTGTATTCGGTCTTCGGGAACATTTTTGTTGCCTGTAGTAACCACTTTCCCCTTTTTCAAGCGATCCCATCAAACTGCTGGAAACGCGACACGGGCGATGTGGAGAATGGGCCAACGTCTTTACCCTGATGTGCGTGGCCATGGGTATGGAGGCTCGTTATGTGTTGGATCTGACGGATCATGTGTGGACAGAAGTGTGGAGTGAATCTTTGGGTCGATGGGGTAAAGGCTGAATCACGTACTGCGAAACCCAAGATAGACACCTCGCAACTAATGAGTGAAATAGTCAATTGCGATTCATGCGAAGGCGAGCAATCCTATGATGAACCATTCATGTAAGACCTCTTCTCTGGACACGATGATTTCAACACCATAACGCTTTGTATGGTATGCATAGGTACGAAGCAGGATGGGGCAAATCCCTTACCTACATTTTCAGTATTTCCCCCTACTCAGTAATCGACTCTACACGCCGCTATACTCAAAAGTTCACTTCTGACGTCTTAGCTCGTCGAACTGTAGTCTCTGAACCATGGCTCGCGACCCAACTCGCTGACCTGAACCGTCGCTTGGTGAGCGAGCTGGGCCCGGATATGAGAACTCACATAGTGCAAAAGACGGAATCGGAAATCAAAGGACTGAGTGGGGTGGGAGAAGGTGGACGAGCCGTGCACGGAGACGAAATAAAGGGACGGGTGTCAGGAGACGAGGCATGGAAGGCTGCCAGGGGGGAAGATGGAGGGGCTAGTGGGTCTGCGGACCGGAGCGCAAACCCCGATCCGGATATCATAAAGGGTGCGTACATATGTGTATTCCACTGTATCGCTAATGCTCATTTCCCAAGCACACCACAGACTCTACCGAGTAGGAATCACCCCTGCTGCCTCCGGTGCTGCCTCTTAGATTTCCTTCGATGTAATTCGACAATGTTGAAATTGATGTACAATACGATGATTGATTGTTACTCTAACAAACATACAGCGGCGGCATAATCATAACAAACATGCTCTTCATTGTTGCAGTCATCGAAGCACACGTTCTGAGACACAAAGGTGTCAGGGCTGCGGCATCTATTGCGGAGTAAGGTAGTGGTGTTTGTGGATTTGTAGGATCGTGACGGGGTAGTTCCTTAGGCCAAGAGCAAGGGATTCGAAACAGACATACGACGAGCCTGCCTGCCAAAAGGATCTAGCTTGTCCGCAACATGACAGTTCCGCGATGATTGACCGGCCGAAAACTTGGTCGGTAGTCCATCGCATCCATTGTCCTACAATAAAACAAGTTCAGAAAGTCCGTATGCTAAAGAAAAACTCGGTGCTCAAAATACGTACAATTTCTGAACTTCCCGAGTCAAATCAATATCCTTGAGTGGCCCAGCGACAAGGGTCACACCAATGATGGAAAGGAAAAGTCCAATCAGGCATTCGATGATAATCTAAACATTCCGAACGTGAGCATTCGTACTCGGAAATGGAAATGGAATGAGACTTACGTCAAGGGGAAGGTGGGATTCTGTTGCGTGAATTGTTTTGATGTAGGATGTGTCTGGGGAAAGAAAATAGCGGATGGTTAATTGCTGTTTCTAAAGACAATTATCGGGATTCCATCTAAGAGTAATCATTCCCACTGTTTCTAACAACTTTATGATAAAGATCTCCACCCCGTGAGATCAAACCAACGCAGACAGATCTCGTACCACAACAATAACTCCCAACTCATTGACTCCCCCAAAATCAGTCCAAACGCAAGGCTCAAATCTACATTCCCAATACCAGTTTCAACCATTCAAAGGTATCGATTCCTAATTCCGCACTCACGTTCAAAAGCCGAGTATCCAGCGTGTAAGAGCATTGCCGCACCAATCTACATTATCGTTTAGCGATCCCGAACTTTTGGACGATTCAATGAATATGCACCGTGTATATGCCTCGTGCTATCCAGTTGGCCATTTTGCAAGAGTTGTGGGGGGAGGATAATTATGTCGGGTCTTGGGGGTCTGTCAAGCTTGTCAGAGTCAGAGTATAAATGTCAGTCAGTGAACGTTCTATTCAGCGGCGGTGGCTTGTGATTGTGACCCATCATCGACTCATCGAGGCTCGAGCGGAGAAGCTTTTCCCTGGGAAATTCCATCTCACAGCACGGGAAATCAACGAGATAACTGGAAGTCTGGAACAGTTGGAACGTTCACAGACTGGATCTGGGAACGCAGGACAGTAGTATGCTGGTAACGCAGCTGGAACTTCAAAGGCGACAGATTGCCCTCGTCAAAGCTGTCAAGGCTAACGACATTGCCAAGGTTCGGCGGCTTCTGAAGGACTGTCGAGAGTGGGATAGTGTCGCCCACGGAGTAGGCCGCCGTTCGGAAAGCGACCTTTGCTTCTGCTGTTTCAAATCCGATGAGTTTATGTCTCCTGTGAGAGACGCTGCCCTTCGGACCGCTATTGCACTGGGGTTGCGAGACATGGTGATTTTGATTCTGGAGGCTGGAATTCAATTTTCTCCTGGGGGGTTGTCAGAGTCTTTTTGTAGCACTGCCGTGAGATTCGAGCAGGTCGATATCCTCCGCTTGCTGTTAAAGCGAAATATTATTTCTGATCGGGAGGACGAGCGATCGGCGAATAGATTGGCAATAAGCAAAGGGAGCTTACCACTGATTGAACCATTCATCCAGTATGGTGTCGTAAGGCGGCGTAGGGCAGTGGAGATTGCCATCGAATTTGGAAAGTTGGAGATAGTCCAAACTCTGACAGAGAAGTCACAATCGGCAATAAAGCTGTCTGTCTTGTTGGTCGATGCTAAATCATCGGCAGCTCACGGGCACCTTGAGTTGGTCGAGTACTTTATTGAACAGATTCGGCGAATGGACGAAAAGCAAGTACCAAACGCTGCCCTCGAAGTTTTCAAAAAAGCCGCCACTCGACCAATTTTAGAGTTTTGCATGCCCCTGACCAATGGGATATCTGACGACGACCGCAACGCAGCCCTCTCCCTCGCTCTAGACAACGCTCATACCGAGGCTGCAGATTTTCACTTCCGTCACGGAGCTACGCAAGATCGTAGCGCGGCTAAATCACATATGAGCTATAGCTGGTCAGAGAGTGTATTTTTACGTCGGTGGAACCTGCTGGGCGGCACCGGTAACTTCAGCGTTTTGACCAATGATGACAGTCACGATGGTCCGCCCGTCTATAATGCAATCCGCCTTGGTTTCTGGAATGTGCTCGAGAAATGTCTTCCCCATCCCGCGTTCAAAATGAGAAAGACACACCATGACATGATGGTTGAGGCGATGCGCCGTATCGTCAAGGATGAGCAGGAGAAGCTTCTTTGGCATATGATCGAAAATGTACCAGAGTCAAGGTCTATCCTGTTTACGGATGTTGATTTTTCCCTTCCCCGCAGCCCGGCCTTGATTCGAATATCAAGCAGATGCCGCGAACTTCTGATCCCGACCCGAAGTAGTCCAGCGTTAAGATGGGAAGTGTCCGCACTGTCTGACGTGTTCTTCAATTTGGTAGTCCACTCAAAGTTGCGGCCGATGGAAACAGTTGTGACCCCCATTGGTCTTGATCCGGAAACGCACACCGCTGCAGTGGCTGCGTTGCGTCGCATATGCTTGCTTACAGTGAGATTGATGGCTGATGGTAACCAGGATGTGTTGCTTAAGCAGGACCTTCGACACGAGCTGGTGACATGTGCTGCATTACCAGAATGCCACCCCATTCCTACCCACTTTGCTACTACTATCTGTACCGAAGCCCTTGAACGAAATGAGCCAGTTTTGTTTTTAATCATTCGAGATGCGCTCACCGGGCCTTCCTACCCTGATGGTGGTGTCTTTTACGCCCAGGAGAAACTGAAAAGGCGTTGGCTCGCTATTGCTGTTGAGCGAGGATTTCAGGATGTAGTTCACTCATTGGTTCCATCGTCGCCTGCCGAAAATGTAACATTGCATCAATCCAAAGGGCCCTCTCCAAAAAACAATGTCCGCATTGGCGACAAATCACTTTGGGAAAGCGCAGTGAAGCGCGCAGTTGACGAGGGAGATTATGGCATTCTGGAACTCCTCAGAAAAACCCAATATACCATCAGCG